TCCCCACTATCTCCGATCATTCTCCCCACTGTGTGTGTGTTCTTCCTGTAGGACAGCACTCAAGAATGAACTCAATACTTCCACAGTGATGTTGATTCTAATGTAAACTTTATTTTACCATGTGTTATTGACCATGACATAGTGTTAGTGTTTTTAATTTTCCAAACTCCTTAGAATTTTAACATGAAATGCAGTCATATCTGCATTTTATGCAGATATGTAAATCACCATTACCCAATGATCATTTACTTACTGAGATGTTTTCTCCACACTTGACAAGTTTTTTCTTCAGTTTTTTCTTCTCACGCGTTAGGTCACTGTGAGTCTTAAGCAGTTCTTCAAAGCGAACTTTGGTTTTTACTTTTGCTTCACTCTCAGCTACAAAAGATAGAGTCATGTCATTTTATAAACGACTCTATTATAACACATAATCTACACTACTATTATGTTAAGAAATAAAGTCTTGTAAATACCGGCATGAATTCTCTAGCTACATTAGAAAAACTCACCAGTCTTTCCTTCTTAAAATACTTTTTGTTTTGACTTTAGTGATCACAACGTTCACCTGTATCCCTCTGACCTTTTTGGCCACTCACTCTAAAAGTCTCCTTTGCCAAGTTGACTTTTTATTTCTGATAAATAGTAGCATCTACCACTGTTAGTTACATGTTATGTGGCTCTAGACAAGTTACTTAACATCTCTAAACTTAATTTTCCTTATCTGTAAAATCACAATTATCTTATGTCAAAGATCATTTTGCATGAAAATGGCTAAGGTCTGCCTAGCCTGTAATCAGTAGTCCACAAACATTAACAGGTTTTTCCTTTAAAACATCAATAAGATAATGCTTAAGCCCCTGAAAATTTCCCATTTCATTTAGGATAAAATAAGTCTTTTATATGCCCTATAGGGTTCCATACCTCCTGATCTATCTGCAGGGCTTCAAGTCAAGACAAATACCCTCTTAGATGCCTATGTTCTAGCTATAATACCCTTCCTTTAGCTCCTCCGTCACAACAAGCTCCTTCCCACGTGAAGCTGTTTCTGAGGCAAACTTCCTCTAACTCCTCACCTGGCTGGTGTTAACCTGTCTTTAGTTTAAATGCTGTCTGTAAATAAAACATCTCCTGACAAACTCATCTAAATTTTCATCTTTCTCACATAGCAGGTTGTTCTCTTCCTTCGCAGCACTTAACCCAAATGGAAATTGTGTAATTATTAGAAACATATCGTCTGTTTCCCCCATAACTACATCCCTAGCAACAATTATGAGGTCTGACATAGTGTACATACTCAGTCATTATGTTTTAAATTAATAAACGCTGAATGAATGGGTGCTCTAGAGCAAGTGTTGGCAAACTATGGCCTGCAGGCTAGTCACTTGTTTTTGTAAAGGTTTATGGAAATCAGACATGCCCATTTGATTAAGAATTGTTATAACTGCCTTCATGCTTTAAAACAGAGACAGACACAGAGTTGAGTAGTTATAGCAGAGACTAAGCGTAAAATATTTACTAGCTGGTCCTTTTAGAAAAGATTGCCAATGCTTGTGGTGGAGTAAAACATTCAAGTTTGACGATAAAAAATAAAAACTAACCCTATGTTGTAATCAGTATTTACCTTGTCCAGCTGAGTCCCAAACTACCATCCATTAAATACATACTAACCTTAATCACAACATTAAACGGAAAACTGAATACAAAACCAATAAGTATCTTTAAATGTAGTATATTTGGTCAATGACATCTACCGTATTCATTGATCTGTTAAAGAATCCCTTAAAATAAACCAAACTTAAAAGTAAATGTATAAAATATAAATTTTATACATAAATTTCATGAAAGTCTTACCAGCAGGCATCTCTCAGCTTTATGCAGAGGACTAAGAATGTAAAGCATTGACTCAATCAGGATCCTATCGAAACAAAGACGATGTATTTGTAATATGGAACTCTCAAATAAAAATTATAAAACATTCACACAAGATCATGCCATTGTATGCCCACTACTTCATTAAGTGTATAACAATAAATCAATGTTCCCTTATCCCAACCTTATGCTTATGACTTGGGTACATTTTAATCAGTGTAGGGCCCTAAAATCAAGGGAAACAAACTGGATCATATATGAAGAAAGCATTTATATATTTGAAACCAACAAAAAAAACATTTTGAAGGCAGTGAACGTCTAACGTGGTATGTTAAAAAACGTTTTAAAATGTTTCAATATATTAATGAACATTTCAACACACTTTTAAGAAACCAAACTCCATCTCAGGACTGACTTTCCTAAGAGCATTCACTAATACATTAAAGCATGTTTGTGGGCAGCATACTCACAGACAGTGAATTTAAATACCTCTGTGTCTGCCATTGAAAATTCTGCTACAATAGAGAAGGGTAGTACAAATAAGTGTACCATCTTTCTTTAATAAAACCTGGATGTGTATTACTGTGTGTCAGAACTACTCAAAACCGTGTTTAAACTCAGATTGTATATTACTAAATTGCCCGTTTTATTAAAAAATGCGGGTGTCTAAAATGAACATATTAATTCTCACATTAGAACACTTAGAACGTAATATGCATGTTATTGAGACTAAAACTGAAGAGTGTTTAAAAAAAAAAAGAAGAAAAGCTGGTTCAGGGATTATTGGTCTGTTTGTTTTTGAGATGGAGTCTCCCTTTGTCGAGTGCAGTGGCATGATCTCGGCTCACTGCGACCTCCCAGGTTCAAGCGATTCTCCTGCCTCAGCCTCCCAAGTAGCTGGGATTACAGGTGTGTGCCACCACACCCAACTAATTTTTGTATTTTTAGTAGAGACAGGGTTTCACCATGTTGGCCAGGCTGGTCTTGAACTTCTGACCTCATGTGATCTGCCCACCTCGGCCTGCCAAAGTGTTGGGATTACAGGTGTGAGCCACCACACTGGGCCCAAAGCATTATTGGTTAATGCTCCAATTCCCTGGAGATCCACATTCATGTTCCTCTTGCAGAAATGTCTAAGAAATTCTAAAAAGAAAGGAATGATTATGTAAACATACCTAACTACGTCAGTTAATTTAGGGAACGACCATGTGGTACCCAAACAAAACAGACATCACTAAATCCATGGAGTAAAAACTCCTATACTTTAGTGATAGGAGCCTGTATTTACTCCTTCTAGCAGTTATGAACCTAATAACTCGTATTCTACTTTCTAGTCTATATCAAATTAGAAAGAGAAGCTGCAAAGGCAAGCACAATGACAGCATCCCTGAGAGCATGTAAGTAGAAAAATCATAAAACAAACAAAAATTTAATATTTATACTACTTGACAGTCATCTAATAGGCAGGGAAAAAGCTGAACAATATTATGACTGTGATTCATCAAAAAAAAAGCCTGCCGGGCATGGTGATTCATGCCTGTAACCCCAATACTTTGGGAGGATGAGGCGGGCAGATCACTTGAGATGAGGAGTTTGAGTCCTGTCTGGCCAACATGGTAAAACCCCATCTCTACTAAAAATACAAAAACTAGTTAGGTGTGGAGCTACTGGGGAGGCTGAGGCAGGAGAACCGCTTGAACCTGGGATGTGGAGGTTGCAGTGAGCCGAGACTGCACCAGTGTGCTCCAGCCTGGGTGATGGAGTGAGATAATATTTTGGAAAGATTAAATAACTAATGAAGAGGCAGGAGAAAGAATCGGAGGTGATTCCCATGTTTCTAGAACTAGAATAAGTAGGTTAGTAGTACCATTAAACTGTAATATAATGCAGTACAGGAGAGTAGTTTAAAATCCATGTCCTAGAATTAGTTTCCATAGTCACTTGTGTCACTTTTGCTTCCTCATCTGTAAAACACTCTATCAGTGCCGACTCAAAGGGTTGTTGTAAGGGTTAAATGATTTACAACAGTACCTCAGACAGAAGCAGCAACAATAAATGTTAGCTATAATTATAACAGGTACTTGCTAGGGTGCAGTCACTAAGCTTAGTGTGGGTCATGTTGAGTTGGGTATCTGAAGGGCACTGAGCAGCTACAAGCATCAGCTTCCATTGTCAGATCCTTGGATCCAAATACCAGTTCTACCTGCCAGCAGATTCATCTCTAGGGACATCAATTTCCTAATCTTTCACAATAATAAATCACTCAGTGTTTTTATAAAGATTAAATGAGAACATGCAAGTAAAATACTTGGCACAATGCCTAGCACATGGCAAACCCTTCAAAAAGAACAATTGTTATTACTGTCACATGTGTGTGTCTGTGTTTATGTATATAATCATATTATGTTTATTAGGCAATCTATTAATCCAGCAGGGAGACCCTAGGCTGAAGATTTGGGAGTTATTTATAAATATGATAGTTGCAAGAAAATAAAAAGCCAATGAGAATCCTGAGAGCCCACAATATGAAGTAAAATCAGGGAGACAGGTAAAAAACTGGGAGACAGAAGCATTACAGAAGGAAAGAGTTTTAAAGGAGATGTAGCCTATATACTGTGTGGCATCAAAAGGGGCTGGAGGTTTTGAAGAAAGTCCACTGAATCTGCAAGAAGGAAGTCACGTGTGTCAAAGCTGTTTATGGAGGGGCAGAAACCTAGCAGGCTGGGGTTAAGGGGTGAATGGAAGGTAACCCCTGTAGAAGGGACATGTAGACAATTCTTTACAGAATTCTTCCAACTGTCTTTTCACCACCCCTAAAGGCAGTGACATGAGACAGTAACTCTGGGACAAAAACACTGTGGAAGGATTATGCTGTTTGTTTTAAGATTGTTTCCATGCCACTATCACCTTACCCTTTTAAAAAATAAATCATCATCTACACAGCAATCAGTGTAATTTTCTAAAATTCAAATGTGACGGTGTCATTTCTTTGCTTAAAATTCTTCACTAGCTCCCAATCACACACTGAAAAAAATATCAAGTCCTTACCATTGAGGTCCAAGGCCATTTATGAAATGTCCCCTTCACACCATACACTGTGTTCCAGCCATGTGAAACTACCTCCAGGCCTTCACATGTGCCACGTCCTCTCTTGCTTTTGTATCATTACACATATATCCCCTCTCCTGAAAAATGTCCTTCCTCCTTTGTCACCCTAACAAACTCCTCATTATCCTTTGAAGGCAAGTATCTTCTCTAGAGAGCATTCGCACCTTGAAGGGCAGTGAAGCACTTCTCTTCTATGCTCCCAGGGTGCCTGAATCTTTGTAACTCCCTCTACCTCAGCCCTGAATTTTCATCCTGGTTAAATGTTCTGTCTCCCACCAAACTGCTAGCTTTGGAGGCCACGCCAATGCTCTCTATAGTTATGTATCTGCCACTATGAAAGAAAAGAGGAGAGAGGAGAAGAGAAAACACGAGAAGCAAAGCAAAGCGAAGCAGTAGCAACGGTCCTAGAGTAAAAAAGACTCAGGTTTGACCTCCAGTGTCACCACTTACTGATGTGTGGCATTGGGTAAGCTACTTAATTTCTAATCCTTGGTTTTTCCTTGTCTGGGAATTTAAAATGGCACCTGTTTTAGTACTGCAAGGAGAAAATACCAAAAAGCAAAGTAATGAGTACACTGCAATAAAATTACTTTATGTCCAGTATTATTGTATTAAAAATAAGTAATTATTAATAAAATACATAAATCATAGAATTATTTACTGTTAATAGCTTAATACACAACTGAATAAATACTAATATTATTTAATAACACAGCAAATACATTATAGAAATCATCTTTAATTTTTTTTTTTTTTTTGGAGACAAAGTCTTGCTCTGTTGCCCAGGTTGGAGTGCAGTGGCACAATCTCAGCTCACTGCTGCCTCCGCCTCCTGGGTTCAAGCAATTCCTCTGCCTCAACCTCCCTAGCAGCTGGGACTACAGGTGTGCGCCACCACGCCCGGCTAATTGTTGTATTTTTAGTAGAGATGGGTTTTCACCAACATTAGCCAGGCCGATACTGAACTCCTGACCTCAAGTGATCCACCCACTCTTGATCCTCCCAAAGTGCTAGGATTACAGGCCTGATCCACTGCGCTCAGCCATCCCTAAATCTTAATGTGTACTACAGCAAACATATGATAGAATTAATGACTAATATTTAATTAGTAACATTATCTGCGAAAATTCAGGTCGGACTTTAAAAGACACCTCCGAATCTTATATATTCCATTATTTTACAACTTCTCCCTCACAAACCCTTTCACAGGAGCTTCTAAGAGATACTATGTAGGAAAATTAAATGGATTACACCTCATCTCATTTTATTTTACAGACCACCTGATTATCAGCCAATATGTGACTCAATATCAATGGGAGAAAAAATTGAGAGGCATGACAATTCCCTCTTTAACCAAATGTTATCGCAAGGGAAAAAAAGACAAACAAAAATCCTGTACACAAAATTCAATGAATAGATCAACAAGATTCTTCACAAGTACACAAGATTCTAACTTCATAAATATTATTCTTCATAAACAAGATACTAAGTATGGTTTAAAAACACTTT